GTTTGAAATATAGATTTAAAATGAAAATAAGTTAATGATATACAGTCAAAAAGAGCAATTGACCAATGATGCTGGCTGCCATTAATGCCAGTATTTCTTTATGGATATTTTGAAAGAAAAAAAAATTAAAGTAGCAAATTTTTTAAGTTTTATATTTGGTTCAATATTTTTGAACTTATTTTGTTTTTGTTTCAGATACCAGCCCCAGGATATTTACATCAGGACAGGTAACATATGCATCGGAAAGTGAGTATATTTTTTTTTTTTATTTATTAATAGTTGTCTGATAGATATTAAAATAATTTGAATATGTATTACAGATAGACGGGAGCTCAGAGAGAAGACGACGAAAGTACAGTCCTTAAGACCTGGACATGATTAATTGTAGATGCCTAGATGATGATGTATGTATTTTGTCGTTACAATTGTACTTAAACTGTTAATAGTTGTAAAGTAATAAAATCAGTTTTCCCTGGAGAAACAGCTTGAAAATTTATTACAAATTAGTCCAAAATTTCTTTTTCAAATTTATACTCGAATGAAAAAGTATACTTGTACTTCAATTTAGGATTTGAATTAAAACATGCATCACATTAATTTCTGAATTATTTATAACAGCAAATAGTCTCTTAACATTGACAATTTGGAAACCCTTTCTCTAGTCTCACCTGAACGAAAGTAAAGTTTCTGATTGTCAATTTGTTTATCTACATATTTAGTCGATTTTTTAAAAAGTAATTTGGAAAATATGACTTGATTTAGATTGTTTCAAATTCAGTTGAATTTTAATCATTTCTGTTCAAAATGTATACATCAGATTGTTTTGGTTAGCCACCAAGTTCTGATAATTTGACACGCACATTTATTTAGGAAATAATGATTATATCATTAAACCGTTTTCATTACTGTTTGAAATATAGATTTAAAATGAAAATAAGTTAATGATAAACAGTCAAAAAGAGCAATTGACCAATGATGATGGCTGCCATTAATGCCAGTTTTTCTTTAAGGATATTTGGAAAGAAAAAAAAAATTAAAGTAGCAAATTTTTTAAGTTTTATATTTGGTTCAATATTTTTGAACTTATTTTGTTTTTGTTTCAGATACCAGCCCCAGGATATTTACATCAGGACAGGTAACATATGCATCGGAAAGTAAGTATATTTTTTTTTTTATTTATTAATAGTTGTCTGATAGATATTAAAATAATTTGAATATGTATTACAGATAGACGAGAGCTCAGAGAGAAGACGACGAAAGTACAGTCCTTAAGACCTGGACATGATTAATTGTAGATGCCTAGATGATGATGTATGTATTTTGTCGTTACAATTGTACTTAAACTGTTAATAGTTGTAAGGTAATAAAATCAGTTTTCCCTGGAGAAACAGCTTGAAAATTTATTACAAATTAGTCCAAAATTTCTTTTTCAAATTTATACTCCAATGAAAAAAGTATACTTGTACTCCAATTCAGGATTTGAATTAAAACATGCATCACATTAATTTCTGAATTATTTATTACAGCAAATAGTCTCTTAACATTGACAATTTGGAAACCCTTTCTCTAATAGTCTCACCTGAATGAAAGTAAAGTTTCTGATTGTCAACTTGTTTATCTACATATTTAGTCGATTTTTTAAAAAGTAATTAGGAAAATATGACTTGATTTAGATTGTTTGAAATTCAGTTGAATTTTAATCATTTCTGTTCAAAATGTATACATCAGATTGTTTTGGTTAGCCACCAAGTTCTGATAATTTGACACGCACATTAATTTAGGAAATAATGATTATATCATTAAACCGTCTTCATTACTGTTTGAAATATAGATTTAAAATGAAAATAAGTTAATGATATACAGTCAAAAAGAGCAATTGACCAATGATGATGGCTGCCATTAATGCCAGTATTTCTTTATGGATATTTTGAAAGAAAAAAAAATTAAAGTAGCAAATTTTTTAAGTTTTATATTTGGTTCAATATTTTTGAACTTATTTTGTTTTTGTTTCAGATACCAGCCCCAGGATATTTACATCAGGACAGGTAACATATGCATCGGAAAGTAAGTATATTTTTTTTTTTTTATTTATTAATAATTGTCTGATAGATATTAAAATAATTTGAATATGTATTACAGATAGACGGGAGCTCAGAGAGAGGACCACGAAAGTACAGTCCTTAAGACCTGGAGATGATTAATTGTAGATACCTAGATGATGATGTATGTATTTTGTCGTTACAATTGTACTTAAACTGTTAATAGTTGTAAGGTAATAAAATCAAATTCATACTTTTGTGTTTCTCTTACCAAAGCAAACTCTGTAAATTCAGAAATTATTGTGTGCATTTATTATTGCGATTTTTACATTATGGACTAAAAGTAAGATTATTTTATTGAATTTCAGGAAAGTTTTTATACAGATATAGGAATTGGAGTTTCTTATTATTGCAATACTCAACCTGTCGCATTATTCAGATTAATAAAACCTCGCAATAGTGTTTCTGAATTAACGGTAAATTATTTGTGCCAGAAGTTATCCAACACATCGCTCTTTTATAATTTTTGTTTTTGTTACAAATGCAGGCCTTAGAAGTTTCAGTGGTACAGCTTGAAGATGGTTCCATTGTACATAGAAGATGAAGATGAGTTAGGTTAAACCTTGTTAGGTAATAATAAAATCAGTTTCCCCTGGGAAAATTGCTTGGTTTTTTAATCACAACTGTAATATTTATAGCTTTCAAATTAATATTCTAATGATACATTCTTTAAAAAAAATGTATTGTTATAATCTATTTTCATGTTACCGAATTGACTAGAGAGTATAGAACTGTTCGATAGGTAACCTACTCTGTGGTAAGACATTCTAGTACTCTGTGATGTAAGAAAGACTGAAAGAAGTAAAATCATGTAAGCTTACAGTCTGTGCAATTTGTCGCAAAAGTTGATTATTTTGGGGTTTTTTTTGAGTCGTCTCATCTGTGTAATAATTTTGACTGTTTGTGGCCTAAAAGTTTATTAGCCATTCATAAGGAGCAAACTTCAAAGACCGTGACAAACCTTTCAATTCAAAGGAACACAGCATGGCTCCCTATAGCTTTAGATATGGCAGCCAAACAAGTTGGAACTGAAGATAGTGACCAGACAACAGAATACTTGGGGGAATAAAAATAATTTGGTTTCTAACTCCTGACAATAAAATTTCTTAAATGTCCAAAAACTCAGATGAGAATTAACTGAGAGCCCACAGGATGATGTGAGATGCCCATCTGTCCTTTGATATATCAACACTAATATGAAATGCTTCAAAGACCTGTAGAATTAACAACTAAAACTGCATATGTGCAAAAGTAATATTTAAAAAAGTTAAATTGTAAATGTACAAACTGTTCAAGATTCAGTTGAACTTTGGTGAACATATTTAAAAGTAGTTGGAAGAAATCATGATATATATGCAACACTCCCAAACGTTTCCATCCCCCTAAACATGTCCGATTCCCCCAAACGTGTCCTTAGAATCTTAAATCGCCCAAACGTGACTGATTTCACTCCCCCAAACTTGTCCAATAATTGTTATTACCCAAAACGTGTCCAGTTTAAAGCGCCAGAACATCTCAAAACTTTTAGCGCTTATATGTCTCTTGTGAAGTTTACGGCTATACAATGATGGGGGACACGATAGAAGACGTCGGGTTTGGGTTGGATTTTAAAAATAAATCGAAGCAGCTATCTAAGGATATCTGGAGGAAAGATATAGTAATCCGCATAGACAAATATCCAAGATATGGTACAATGTGCACTGGGACTTCTGCTTTCAAATAAACAGACACAGTGTAAGAAAAAGGATGACAAAATAAGCTATTTTTACTTACAGTGGTTTATTAATTTTTTACCAATAGAATTGTCATTGTTTTAAATTACAGTTGGAGGTACTTCATAATTAAGAAATCTAATACAATTTATATTGCATGTTTTCCCAGTGCTTCACTGTTAATACAGTCAGTGGTCATTTATTAGCATTAATTTGTTCAACGCCGGTTGTTTATATTAAGCATTATTGCAAGCTTAATTTAACTATTGACCGTTGATTGCTTAATGCCAGTGGCAAATATTTCAAGCATATTTAGAGCAAACAATTACACAGAAAATGCAATTAACTAGTTTTGTACAGTGTAGATCATCGTTTACTTAGTGAATTATTTTGTACTAATATACTCTGATGATGCCTAAATACCTTTATAATGTATGAGGGTATTGCACTACAGGCTTCCCGCAGAAGTTGTTTATGGGCTTTTTAAAAGAACCCTTTGGTTCCATATAGACTGGATATGTTTGGGCGTTCATAAACAGAACACTTTTGATGCCCTTAAGCAACAAGTCATATTTTGCAGTTCATTGACGTCATATGGACACGTTTGGGGGAATCAGACACGTTTCTGAGTGGTACATATATACAATAACTATCTGATTTCCATCTACATGCAGAGTGAAAAAACAAAATAAAGCTTCAGGAATAGCTGTTCCAAGGAAGATGGTAACATAGATCTTCAACTAACTCTGAGGCTCTGCCATTAAAAAAATAAAGAAGCAAGGACAACAGCTCCAAGGAAGATTATTACATTGATCATCTTCAAAGTCTGATGTGTGGCCATTAAAGAAATAATGTAAGTACAATTAGGCAATACAATTTCTGTATATTCTCTAAAAATATGTGATAAAAGTACAGAAGGCAACAACCGTTTTCTTATTTTCTACATTTACAACACACAAAAAAAAAAAAGAATTTATCAATTCAATATATTGTTTCCAGGAACACGAATAAAGCTTTTAAATCACGAAAAGTAAAATTCAGAGAGAATTTTTCCTTCAAGGGGAGACTAGTACAACAAACGGCAAGACTGTTTCATTCATTGGGAGATTACTCATTGAAAATTTTAGGCTGGCAATTTAAACAAGATTTGTAAAATGTATAATTTATGTCAATTTTAATTCCTTTTTAGGTTATTTCTGAGTGGTACATATATACAATAACTATCTGATTTCCATCTACATGCAGATTGGAAAAAAAAAAACAGCAGGAGGGATAGTAGTTCCAAGGAAGATGGTAACATAGATCTTCAAATAACTTTGAGGCTCTGCGAGTCTGCCATGAAAAAAATAAAGAAGCAAGGACAGCAGCTCCAAGGAAGATTATTACATTGATAATCTTCCAAGTCTGATGTGTGGCCATTAAAGAAATAATGTAAGTACAATTAGGAAATACAATTTCTGTATATTCTCTAAAAATATGTGATAAAAGTACAGAAGGCAACAACCGTTTTCTTATTATTCACATTTACAACCCCAAAAAAAAAAGAATTTATCAATTCAATATATGGTTTCCAGGAACATGAATAAGGCTTTCAAATCACGAAAAGTAAAATTCAGAGAGAATTTTTCCTTCAAGGGTAGACTAGTACAACAAATGGCAAGACTGTTTCATTCATTGGGAGATGACTCATTGAAAATTTTAGACTGGCAAAAAAGTGGCAATTTCAACAAGATTTGTAAAATTTATAATTTATGTCAATTTTAATTCCTTTTTAGGTTATTTCTGAGTGGTACATATATACAATAACTATCTGATTTCCATCTACATGCAGAGTGAAAAAAAATTAAAGCAGCTGAGCAGGGATAGTAGTTCCAAGGAAGATGGTAACTTTGAGGCTCTGCGAGTCTGCCATGAAAAAATAAAGAAGCAAGGACAGCAGCTCCAAGAAAGATTATTACACTGATAATCTTTCAAGTCTGATGTGTGGCCATTAAAGAAATAATGTAAGTACAATTAGGCAATACAATTTCTGTATATTCTCTAAAAATATGTGATAAAAGTACAGAAGGCAACAACCGTTTTCTTATTTTCCATATTTACAACACACAAAAAAAAAAAAGAATTTATCAATTCAATATATTGTTTCCAGGAACACGAATAAAGCTTTTAAATCACGAAAAGTAAAATTCAGAGAGAATTTTTCCTTCAAGGGGAGACTAGTACAACACACGGCAAGACTGTTTCATTCATTGGGAGATTACTCATTGAAAATTTTAGGCTGGCAATTTCAACAAGATTTGTAAAATGTATAATTTATGTCAATTTTAATTCCTTTTTATGTTATTTCTGAGTGGTACATATATACAATAACTATCTGATTTCCATCTACATGCAGATTGAAAAAAAAAACAGCAGGAGGGATAGTAGTTCCAAGGAAGATGGTAACATAGATCTTCAAATAACTTTGAGGCTCTGCGAGTCTGCCATGAAAAAAATAAAGAAGCAAGGACAGCAGCTCCAAGAAAGATTATTACACTGATAATCTTTCAAGTCTGATGTGTGGCCATTAAAGAAATAATGTAAGTACAATTAGGCAATACAATTTCTGTATATTCTCTAAAAATATGTGATAAAAGTACAGAAGGCAACAACCGTTTTCTTATTTTCCATATTTACAACACACAAAAAAAAAAAGAATTTATCAATTCAATATATTGTTTCCAGGAACACGAATAAAGCTTTTAAATCACGAAAAGTAAAATTCAGAGAGAATTTTTCCTTCAAGGGGAGACTAGTACAACACACGGCAAGACTGTTTCATTCATTGGGAGATTACTCATTGAAAATTTTAGGCTGGCAATTTCAACAAGATTTGTAAAATGTATAATTTATGTCAATTTTAATTCCTTTTTAGGTTATTTCTGAGTGGTACATATATACAATAACTATCTGATTTCCATCTACATGCAGATTGAAAAAAAAAACAGCAGGAGGGATAGTAGTTCCAAGGAAGATGGTAACATAGATCTTCAAATAACTTTGAGGCTCTGCGAGTCTGCCATGAAAAAAATAAAGAAGCAAGGACAGCAGCTCCAAGGAAGATTATTACATTGATAAACTTCCAAGTCTGATGTGTGGCCATTAAAGAAATAATGTAAGTACAATTAGGCAATACAATTTCTGTATATTCTCTAAAAATATGTGATAAAAGTACAGAAGGCAACAACCGTTTTCTTATTTTCTACATTTACAACCCAAAAAAAAAAAGAATTTATCAATTCAATATATGGTTTCCAGGAACATGAATAAGGCTTTCAAATCACGAAAAGTAAAATTCAGAGAGAATTTTTCCTTCAAGGGTAGACTAGTACAACAAATGGCAAGACTGTTTCATTCATTGGGAGATGACTCATTGAAAATTTTAGACTGGCAAAAAAGTGGCAATTTCAACAAGATTTGTAAAATTTATAATTTATGTCAATTTTAATTCCTTTTTAGGTTATTTCTGAGTGGTACATATATACAATAACTATCTGATTTCCATCTACATGCAGAGTGAAAAAAAATTAAAGCAGCTGAGCAGGGATAGTAGTTCCAAGGAAGATGGTAACTTTGAGGCTCTGCGAGTCTGCCATGAAAAAAATAAAGAAGCAAGGACAGCAGCTCCAAGAAAGATTATTACATTGATAATCTTCCAAGTCTGATGTGTGGCCATTAAAGAAATAATGTAAGTACAATTAGGCAATATAATTTCTATATATTCTCTAAAAATATGTGATAAAAGTACAGAAGGCAACAACCGTTTTCTTATTTTCCACATTTACAACACACACAAAAAAAAAAAGAATTTATCAATTCAATATATTGTTTCCAGGAACACGAATAAAGCTTTTAAATCTCGAAAAGTAAAATTCAGAGAGAATTTTTCCTTCAAGGGGAGACTAGTACAACATACGGCAAGAAAGACTGTTTCATTCATTGGGAGATTACTCATTGAAAATTTTAGGCAGGCAATTTCAACAAGATTTGTAAAATGTATAATTTATGTCAATTTTAATTCCTTTCTAGGTGATTTCAGTGTTTTCATGGATGGGAGTAAGACTTGGTGGTATAATATTTCTAGTATTTAAGTAGGAATATAATTCCTCTATTTAAACAAGATTTATTCATCATAAAATAAGTTTATAGGAAATAAAATATGCTCTATGCTTGAAGATGTAAGAGGTCAGAATTTTGTTTTTTTTCATATCAGTACCAAAATTTGACCGAATGTTTTAAAGATTTTAATTAATTCTGTGGATGTCTTATTTTTGTGTTGTTGAGATGTTGTCACATTGATGTATACAACACATCTTCTTTTACTCATTTTTGTCGGGCCTTGACGGAGTCAAAAAGCGAGACATAGGTATGCTGTTTCCGGCGGCGACAGGGTCAACAATGTATTAGTTTGTGATTAGGTCTAGTTCATGGTGAACCACTTGTGGTAGGTCAATGATATTTGGTGTGCAGTTGTATTAGCATTGGCACATCTCATTACCATGGAGATTATTTGGTTCCACCCCTCAGTCAAGGTCTATTGACTTTGAAACTTTGCTTAGTTTACATGTATTAGTTTGTAATTAGGTCAGTTTATGGGGAACCACTAGTGGTAGGTCAATGATATTTGGTATGCAGTTGTATAAGCATTGGCATATCTCATTTCCATGGACAATATTTGGTCCCTACCCCTCAGTCATGGTCTATTGACTTTAAAACTTTTGCTTAGTTTACATGTATTAGTTTGTGATTAGGTCAGTTTAAGATTAACCACTTATGTTAGTCAATGATATTCGGTATGCAAATGTATTGGCATTTGCAAGTTTCATTTCCATGGAGATTATATAACCCCACCCCCTAATTATGGTTCATTGACTTTGAAACTTTTACATAGTTAACAAGTTAATGTTTGTAATTAGGTTTGTTTAAAGGGAACAACTTATGAAAAGTCAATGGTATTTGGTTTGCATTTGTATTAACATTGGCACATCTCAATTCCATGGAGATTGTTTAGCCCTGTACCTTCAGTCATGGTTCATTAACTTTGAATATTTGCATAACTTACATGTTAATGTATTGCTATTTTAATTTCATCATTTGCATTATCAAAATAACAAATAGACGAGACATATCTGTGTTAACAGTTTATGTCATATATAACCTATTTCCATATACTCTGGATTTATTATCATTCTTTGGATACCAATTTTCGTGGATATATAAGTGACCAACATATATAAATGTTCCATGTAGTACAAATTTTCTATAGACTTGTATGCCAACTTAATCAAAACCCACAAAAATACAATTGTTCCTCAATCCACGAAAATGAAGAAATGTTCAGAATGTTGAGATCTACCTGCTGTACAATTACGTCAAAACTGTCAGACATTCTTAAAGGAGTTATTGCCCTTAAATGTGAAGTTTTACCATTTTTTTTTCATTTTTATTCATTATTTTGAAAATAAAAATAGATGGAGAGAAATTTTAATACAAAAAAAAGCAAGACAAGATATGCACAAAAGTCAAATGACTGAAATCTTCTGAGGACTAGTTATTGGAGTTATTGATCTTCAATGACGATTTTTACCATTGATCAGCAAGTCAAGATTTACAAAAAAGCTGCCTTGGATTAAATCTTAAGTCGACCTGTTCATGGAGTTTTTGCCGTTTTTTTACCACATTTTTTTTAGTTTTTGCCTATTATCTTGAAAAAAGTAGGACAAGACCTACAAATATGTCAACATGACTGAAGTCGTCAGTTTACTCTTTATAGAGTTATTGCCCTTTTGTAAAGCAAAAATGATCAACAGGACCAGACCTACAAATATGTCAACACGACTGAAATCGTCAGTTTACTCTTTATAGAGTTATTGCCCTTTCGTGATGATTTTTACCAGGAAGTAGTTATTGTTGAAGATGAAGAAGAGCGACACAGGATCTTAAGAGCCTCTGTTTTGAACAATTTTGATTGACTAAGCATTTTACTTTCAGGTTAGCATTAGTTACTGCTTGTCAGTATGGATTGTTTAGAATGGTCATTGGAGCTGTCTTTTAAGGTAAGAACCATTGCATAGATTTATAAACTTGTCAATTAAAGATTATGTAAATGCACTTGAATTTTGCCTGTGACATTTTGTCGCAGAAGCCAGGCATAGCAATTCACATTACTTTGTTTTTTATATCCAATTACAAGTCATTGAAGAAAAAAATACAAGGCTCGTGTGCTTTTAATCAGTTCTTATAATTTATTTGGGTTCAAATATTTTTTTCTTCAAAATTTATGTGTACGCCCGGGCGTTTCGACGTAAACGTATCTACGCGCATGCCTATGCAGATAATCAACATTAAACTATAAAATATATTAAAAATAAACCTCTGTTCGATCTACAAATCATTAGTCTTATCATTAGTCTTTTTTAATGTTATAAATCAATAAATCATTTTTTCCAGACAAAATAACAACACTGGTTGATACAATTCTGGGAACCGGTGAAGAAGTTAAAAGTTTTACAATATACTGAAGACTTGCAATGGAAAATCCAGAAAACAGGTCTTTTACGAAACAGTATGAGAGAGCCAAGATGATTGCTGGATTTAAAATGCTTGGAAAAAACAACCAAATGAAGACAAAAAATGCACTGCATCAACAAACAAAACAACTACTGGAACGTTGGGGCACCAGTACTGATTTCTGATTCTAAAAACAATTGTTCAAAATCTTCTACATGTTTACGAAGACTGTACATACATGTATATATATATATATTTATTTAAGAAAGAAAAAAATAATGCATGTGCTTGAAACTTGTCTACATACATGTAATGAATAGAAAAAAGGAAAGAAAAAAAAAATGAAAACAAAATGAAAAGAAAAAACAAAAAAGAAAGAAAAAAGAAAGAGAGAAAATTCAAAAAAAGAAAAGAAAGAAAGAAAGAAAAGAAAATGAAAAAAAAAAATGAAAAAAAAAAAAAATTTGAGGAGGGAGGTGGGTAATGCAGCCAAGTAATACTGTATTCACCAATTTTCATGCACCATAACACCCACAATCGTGATAGTACGCTTAGATTTGCCTACAAATTTTGTGATTAAATAATATAACCTCATTATGCAGGAAATCTATTTTAAAAATTATCTTTACAATCATCTAGAGCAGACCCAATATTTACGTCTTTTATCATTTTCATTGATACAAGATACCCCATTTTTTATTTCTAAATAAAACCAAGGTGCTTATTATTATGAATACAGTACAACTTGCCAGTCACAAGCCTGGAATAAAGAGCCACATTAAAATATCAAGAATTAAGTTAGTTTAAACAGGACTATTCACAACTTTTTTTGCCATTAAATGCTTGACACTCATATTTTTTTCGTTTCCTTTATTGCTTTAAATTAGGTCGAAATATTCTATAGCATGTTTAGTTACATGTACCTACCCTTTTTCATAGTCTCAATATACATTGCCTTCACAGTGTTTCTTATATACAAATGTACTCCAGGTAAACAAAAAATTCTGGAACAAATTGTACATTCTAGTTGTACAGTATGTGTCATACTAGTAAAAAAGGGGGGATACAAATTTTAAACTTTTAACATATATATTTAAATCATGGATTTATTGTGGCTTTTAATGCAGAGTGAACCACCATATAGTTTTAATTTTAGATTTATTGTGGCTTTTAATGCCGAGTGAACCATCGTATAGTTTCAATGATATTGTAGAACCAACTTGTAAAATTCAGAATTACACCGATTAATACATACGTAAAATTATGTATTGTACTAGGAATACACAAATCATATGATAACTCAATATAATGTATATGTAGTTTTTATGCTAGTCAAGACCATGCTCATTACAATAAAAATTGTTTTACAAATATCTTTAGTTCAGAGATAGTTTCTTTTCAGAGTCACAGTGTCCAATATTTTTTGTTCAACATACATGGTCACATACAAAAGTCATGGGAATAACGTCAGAAATCTAAGAAATGTTTGAATAAATCAATGTTGTCTGCATGAATACATAAATATCAACATATTACGTTTGGTTTTTATCAGAGAGTCCTTGAAGATAATCTGCTGATCCTCACTATAGATTACATGTATATGTATGTTCTATTGAAAAACAACAAAATAGTCAGTCCTTTGAATATGGCGGTGGGCAAAACCTTCGGACCACCACTTTTTGAGAACTCTGCTGGACTACATTTCCTTAATACGCCTGTGTATAATAAACTAGAGGGGTGCATTGAAAAATGTCACGCATTTGATAAAAGAAAAAAGGTGCCAATGTTAAATGTATGAAAAATCTACAGAATCATTTCCTGTCAAATTTTAAATGGCTTACATCTTGAAAATCAGGACATAGACCCTTCATTTTTTTTCTGCTTGAATTACAAGCTATCGGATAAGCCCGAGTTGACGGCAAATCTATCCTTGTTTTAATAAATGCCTCCCCCTTCAGAGATGCAAAATATGACACCCCGAGCGACACATACATTTCAATGGAAAATTTACTTTAAAACCAATAAATTTCAACTAAGAAGCTGGCATTTGGTTAAATTCTATGATAGGAATTAGTTTCTTTATAAATCATACGGGAAAAAATTGCCAAAAGTAGTTTTTTTATCCTGAATCATGCATATGAAGTCTCAAAATTTGCAACACAGAAAACTAGGGAGAGG